GAGGCCATGGGGCAAAGGGTGAGAGCCTGAGGTGCTGGTGAGGGGACCTGAGCCCCCAGGTCCTCATTGGGCATGATGACAAAACCCACTAAGCATGATTGCTCCAAGGGCTAAGTCATATATTATATTTGGAAAATGATTGCAAAAGCCTTCATGAGTATGAAAAGTTGAAGGCTGACAAATAAAGATTGAGAAGCGAACATCTTATTTCCTTGGACAGGCTGACCTCACAAGAACCTCACAAAAGTATATATATTTTATGACATTTGAATACCTGGGAACAGGGAAGTTATCTCAGAGTAGGGAAGTCGTACCTTTGTATGCAGGAAACATTTTAGGTTTGAATTCTGCAGACTGTGCCTATTCAAGAAAACAATCCTCAGGGAATCCATCAGACTCATCCATAGCTCAAGGAGCAGCTTTAAAGTTGTTGGCGTCATTTGCAGCACAAACTTAGATTAAGCAATTTATAGGCAGGAGAGAATGTCTAATTTGCACATAACTGATGGCAGGAAGATGAAAGATGAGTTCATAATATTTCGGCTGACTCTGCAATACAGCTTGGAGTCTTTTTTCTAATTTCCTTCAAAATTCAAAGAAAGAGAAATACAAGCAGAACAATTTCACTGCCTAAGGATGGGACTCTGCCCTGTGCTCCAAGCCCTATCCAATTTGCTCCTATCCTCCCAGTTCAGTCTCACCTGGAACAGGGCCATGGTGGAATTTGCTTTCCAGGGTATCTCACAGCACCCCCGTGTCTACCCAGCTCTGGACTCTCCTTTTACTCATGAATTTACTGCACTTCATTCACAGGTGCTGGGTACTGGGAGATTCTGGGAAATGTGACCTCAGAGATGACATCACCCACAGCCGACTACTGTGACATGTGCCTCTCCCCAGTTTCCATCATTTGATGTCCTGCTCCTCTTTCCCAAACATTGCTATTTCTTGATTTCTCTTCTGAACCCTGTAATCAGGCACAACTTTCCTCCTTGCTTTGTGACTCACTGAATAGCTGTCATCTATTAAAATTCTGTAGCAATTCCTAGGGTGGGTGCAATACTTTAACAAGTGGTGTGGGCTAAATGCTCTGGACAAGTCACCTGGCTTAATTTTCAAAATAACACTATGAAGTAGATAGTATCATTAAGCTCAGACTTACATAAGATCACACAGAGCTGGAGGTGCAATGTGTCCAAGGTCACTCAGCTGTGTGTGATGAAGAGGGCTTCAAACCCAGGCAGTCTGGCTTCAAACCCAGACCAATGCAATTGGGCACATCATCTACCTCCACACTTGATCTCAGCCATTTTTCTCTAGGCTGTGACTTTCATGAAAGCAGGGTTTGTCTCATTCACCTCTCATTCTACCCTGCCTACCACCCACTAACCCCTGTCAAGTGGGATAGGTAATGAGTCTGTATTTGTTGGATTAAAATGAATTCCATAGATACCCAGTTTAAATTTATGACCTTTTGGATTCTTATACCACATCAGCTCACTTTGTACTTCAACATTTTTGCAGTTTCATTTGCATAAACTCTTGGTGTTTGTGTCTCCAGATGTCTTATCACGCTACAGAGCTGGCTGAGTTTACTTTGACTCATTCAGCGGCTGTTACAGGAAGTGGGCAGGGAATTCGATTTGTCCAAGAGGCTGAAAAGCATTTTAGAGGATGGATGGATCAACTAAGAAGGCTCCTGGGCTTTGCCAGGAGGACACAACTCAGGAAATGCTTTGAACAGAGGTCCCTGCAGACTCATCCTTCTTAGCCAGAGGCCACCTGGAATGGTTACCTCTGTCCTCACATCACAAGGTCCAGGCTGCAGGATCCAACCTAAAAATTCAGCCACATTTTCTCTCTTAGCAATTCTGGAGAAACTTTTTTGCTAGGAGTCATAAGTCTGATTGCAGCAGAGTAACTAGGGCATTGATCTTGTAATAGTGCCTGATCTCTAGTCAAGGCGTTCACTGAGACAAAAATGTGTAGCTCCCAATGACAATAAGTCCACACAGACCTCAGGAAACTGAAGGGGATAAGTGTGAGGGGCCTGACAGCACTGCTCTTAGGATTTAAGCAGAATAAAGCAAAAGACAGCCATTTATCCTGTAATTTGTAGCTATGGTTTTGGTCTCTAGTGTCCCCAAAATGCTCATTGAGTATTAAAGGCTTGGTCCTCAGTGAGGTGATACTAGGAGGTAGTGGAAGTTTCAAAGTTTTTTCACGTCCTAGCATGAGGTGAGTGCTTTTGCCCTACTACAAGCCCCAACCATGATGTACAGGATTGCAAGAGCAATGGGACCAGTGGGTCATAGACCGAAATTCCCTAAACTGAGCAAAAATAAGTCTTTATTCTTTATAAACTGATTATCTCAGGTATTTTCTTATAGTGCCAGAAAGATATCTAATATGTTTGGTAAAAAAAAAAAAAAAAGTGTGTTTTCTCATTTACTGGATTAAATTTCTTAAAGACATAAAAATTATTTGGTACTTTGTGATCTGAATAGGTAGGCAGTAATAGCATGACTATGACTATAAACCTCATCAACTGTGACATCATAGTTTTCAAGGTCAAAGGAATTGGCAATGAAATTGGGACACTGACTACCAGTTTCCCAGTACTGAACCCATATCTTATTCACTTCCAGCAAGGGGTGGCTTCTCAGGAAGCCCAAATATAGAAAAAAATTCCAATACCAAGGAAACAGGTGAATAAATTTTGATATACTCATTGAAATATTGCACATTAGATGCATAAACTACTACAACACATGACAACATAAAGAAATGTTTCTGCCACAGTATTCAATGAACAATGTGATGAACAAAAGAGCACGTACTCAATGATTCCATTTCTGTGAAGCTCATGAATGTCCCGAACTCTTCTAAGCAGAATGCACTCAGTGGAAGGAATATTGAAGCAATAGGCTTGTTCTGTAACTACATTATTTCCCATTTGAATATTTTGCATGTGATTTCCCTCCCCCAGCCCCAAGTGCCTGGTGGGCACCTGCTCATCCTTTAACACTTAGCTCAGTGACGACATTCAGAAAAGCTTCCTTTACCTACCACAGAGGACCTCTGGTAACTGGATACCGGACACTAGTAACATGTTTCCTCTGGAGAAATGGAGTGGATTTATGAGCACAATGGCTAGTAAAGAATCCTACTGCTACTGGATACTCTTGCTGAATGGGTTACCATTTAAAATAGAACTTAGGACAAAAAAATAAGTAAAGGCAACAGTTAGGAACCTGAGTTAGCAGTTTACCACAGTTTGGAATAAAGGGATAAATGTTGGATAACCTCCCACCCCCAGGAGCTTTCTCCCTCCCACCCACCACAACCCAGAGGGCACTATTTCTTTCTAAAGAAGGCAATAGCAAGTGAAGAGAGACTTCTTTTAAAAACTCTACAATCTGGTCAGAGCAAGGCCCTTACTTCATGAACAGAGCTGATGAAATGTAAAATATACAAATAACAGAATTGACTTTATTACCCAGACTAAAACTTGACTGGACCAAATGTCCCAAGATGGAAACCCTTTTACTTGCTTTCTGGGGTCCCTCAGGCCTCTTCTGCGTGATGATATCCCTCTAGAAGGAGATATGGAGAATTATTATAAAACATCATGCTTTTCACCTTGAAATCAAAGGATTTGACTTTGGAAAGCTTGGAACATTTTTACAAAACAGGATCCAGAATTGATTATGGATAGCATAAATTTAATGTTACCATAAACTGAAAACCACAGCTAAGATGCTGCATTCTAGAATCTTAAAATCCTCCAGTCTACTCTTAAATTGCTCTCATAACAAATGTGAACTGGTGAGATATTTATGACACATTCAATCTGTACATGACATGAAAATAATACATAGTTCTAATTCTATTCCATTTACCCTCTAATAAATTATAAGTAGGAAGAAACTGCAACGAAAGGATGGATCTCAAGTTTCACAAAAGGCTATGGTTCAAGCCACATTTCTAATATTTTGTAATGTGATATTTAGCCCATCACTAAATTTTCTAAATCTTAACTTCATCCTTCACTGTAAAGCAGATTTTTTTTGAGAATTGCCAAAATTTGCAGTCGAAAAGCATCAAATATACAGTTAGTGTTCAATAAAAGCTTTCATGTCCTTTGTGTTTTTTTCCTTATGGTATATTATTAGTATGGCTTACAGAAATCATAAAACTATTACCTCTCACGTCTCCAACAAAGCAGCAGAACACGAATCAGTTAAAGAGTCAATATGATGTAGTTGTTGAACTTTAGTATAGAAAAAGCCACAAATAAAATATTCTCAGTTACTTTGGGAGAATTTACCTGTCTTTATGAGTTCTGATTTTGTTTATAAGAGTGATAATAAGTCATCTCTTTTTGTTTTGGACTAAATATCCGTGTTTCCTCAAAAGTCATATGTTGAAATCCTGACTGACCGATGGGATGGTATGGGGAAGTAGAGCATGTTGGAGACAATTCAGTGATGAAGGTATAGACCTCTTGTTGGGATCAGTGCCATTTTTAAAGAGCCTTGGAGAGCTCTGTACCCCTTAGCCCTCCCTCTGCCATGTAAGGACACAATGAGAAATCGGCAGTGGAAACCTGAAGGGGGCCTTCACCAGAACAAGACAAGCTGGCATCCTGATTTCAGACCTCCCACCTCCAGAACTGCAAGAAATTAATGCCTCTTGCTGATGAGCCGCCTGGGCTCAGTGCATTGTTTTGTGTCCAGACTGGCTGAGACACCTTCTTACAGGCAATGTAAGGATTCGTGTAGCAACTGCTTAGGATCCTCCTTAATTGGAGTAGTCACTGAAAAAGCAATTGCTTTACTTCTTCATTCCTTTAAAAATAAGTACATTTTCTATTTTCAAATATAACTTTCTGAAATTTGTTGAGATAATTGGAGAAAATCATCAGAAGAAGGAACATAAAACAAAAGGACAAGCACTAAGCTGTAGTGTGCATTCCTTGATTCTGTTTTCCAAACCAGGAGCACCATCAGCAAACCCTCCTGTGGACCCAGCTGCACTTGGCAACTTGTCAGTTGTCAAATGTCACCTTGACAGTCCTCCTGGCCCTCAGGGCTTTGTGGATTCCAGGTAAGATGTGGTTTTCCCCATTCTTTTTGTCTAGTTGACTTCTTCAAAACATAGACCTCTCTCTGATTTGACCCCTTTAATTGATCTGGGCTTCAGGCCAGCTCCCCAGTGCTTTCTGACTAACCCAGCAACTCAGGCCTTGGAATCTACAGCAGGTAAGGCCCTAGGCATGTACGCTAGAAAACGTGTTCACAGTCAGAGCTAAGCTGTATACCCTCAAAAATGTCCATGTTGGAATCCTGACACCCAGGAACCTCAGAATGTCATTTTATTTGGGAATAGGGATGTTACAGATAGAATTTTTTAAGATGAGATCATACTGGATAAAGGTGAATTTTAATCTTAGCTTGGGCCACTGGAACACATTATCACAGAATGAATAGCGATATTTTTTTTTCTGAAGAAAATAAAGTTTTAATTTTATTTTAAAAAGATATTATACTACTGTCCCTTGAGTCTTTACTATGTAGAGATGAATTATATTAAATAGATTTATTTTCTTTTTTTTTTTAATTTTTTTTAATTTTTTATTGTTGGCTGTTCAAAACATTACATAGTTCTTGATATATCATATTTCACACTTTGATTCAAGTGGGTTATGAGCTCCCATTTTTACCCCATATACAGATTGCAGAATTACATCAGTTACACATCCATTGATTTACATATTGCCATACTACTGTCTGTTGTGTTCTGCTGCCTTTCCTATCCTCTACTAGCCCCCCTCCCCTCCCCTCCCCTCCCCTCTTCTCTCTCTGCCCCCTCTACTGACATTCATTTGTCCCCCTTGTATTATTTTTCCCTTTCCCCTCACTTCCTCTTGTATGTACTTTTGTATAACTCTAAGGGTCTCCTTCCATTTCCATGCAATTTCCCTTCTCTCTCCCTTTCCCTCCCACCTCTCATCCCTGTTTAATATTAATCTTCTTCTCATGCTCTTCGACCCTACTCTGTTCTTAGTTACTCTCCTTATATCAAAGAAGACATTTGGCATTTGTGTTTTAGGGATTGGCTAGCTTCACTTAGCATAATCTGCTCTAATGCCATCCATTTCCCTGTAAATTCTATGATTTTGTCATTTTTTAATGCAGAGTAATACTCCATTGTGTATAAATGCCATATTTTTTTTTATCCATTCATCTATTGAAGGGCATCTAGGTTGGTTCCACAGTCTCGCTATTGTGAATTGTGCTGCTATGAACATCGATGTAGCAGTGTCCCTGTAGCATGCTCTTTTTAGGTCTTTAGGGAATAGACCGAGAAGGGGAATAGCTGGGTCAAATGGTGGCTCCATTCCCAGCTTTCCAAGAAATCTCCATACTGCTTTCCAAATTGGCTGCACCAATTTGCAGTCCCACCAGCAATGTACAAGTGTACCCTTTTCCCCACATCCTCGCCAGCACTTGTTGTTGTTTGACTTCATAATGGCTGCCAATCTAACTGGAGTGAGATGGTATCTTAGGGTGATTTCTCTCAGCTCTGGAGATTGGAAAGTCCAAGATCAAGTTGGCAGCGGGTCAGGTGTCTGGTAATGGGCTGCTTCCTGCTTCACAAATACTGGCTTTCCCTTTGTCTTCTCACTCAGAGGAGCACAAAGACAGGGAAAAGGCTCTTCTAACTCTCCTTACGAGGTTGCCAATCCCATTCATAAGGGCTCCACCCATATATCCTAATTACTTCCCAAAATAGGAGTGAGGGAGTTAGGATTTCTATGCACATTCTGGAGTAGCACAGACATTTAGGCCATATCAACACTTACCTAACAACAACAGTAAGAATCACCACACAATGAGAGAGGAGTACAGGGGAAGAGAACACTATGGATATGCTTGGTGTCATGCTGCCTGCAGCCAGCCACTATCAGAAACTAGGAGAAACTTGGAACAAATCCTTCCCCAGGGTTTCAGCAGAATCATGGCCCAAATGACACATGGATTTCAAACTTTCTGACTTCCAGAATTGTGACATGATAAGTTTTTATTGTTTTAAGCCACCCAGTTCCATATCACCTTGTTGTGGAAGCCCTAGCAAACCCAAACTGGCTGATAATCAATATGTTCTTTTATAGCCACCAGTTGTCCAGATTATTGATTTTTCTGATTGGTACATAGATGGTGCATCACTATTCTGAGTCCTCCAGACAACTCTGGCCTCCCTGCCCACTCAGACTCTTGGGATGCCTGGACTTTGCCTATGATACAAAATTAAAGCCAACTACATCTTTAAAGCTACAACCACCTACTCAGACTGGATTCCCTGTTTCCTGCAAGAAAGTTTGAAGAACATACCCATTCTCCTCAACCTACTGTTATCTCACTGCTTCTTATGATCACACTATTTTCACATGGTAAATATTTACCACCTAGTTCTCCAGCGAAGAAGGCAAATTATTTGTTACATTTGGAGACTGGGAAATCTGTACCCCTTAGCCCTCTCTCCACCATGTAAGCAAATCCTCTGCCTGGTGATCTGCTTTCTGGGTTTCAGGTGGCTGCCTAATGAAAAACCGTCATCCCTACAGGCCTAAAATAATACCGGTCGAGGGGGAACAATTGCAAACTACAGTTTTAATATGGACCCTGACTTCCCAAGGAGATTATGTTTCAGAACCTGTATTTGTGCATTTCAGTTACCATGGATACAAGCAGCCATGTGGGTAAGTAGCTAGCTGTTAGGTAGTAGTCAGAGGAGACCTATGATTACCCTAGATCTCAGCTGATTCAAGGAATAATAAGATATCCTCTATCTGATACTCAACTATTCAAGGTAACATCCAGAGTAGTTTACTTTATTCCAATAACACTATTAAGTCACATTTGTTGCATTAATGAATGAATTGTTTATTTAATGGATATGTACTGAGGGTCTGAGTGTGAGCGTATGGTACACAATCAGGAAGGGATATCAAAGTACACAAAACAATCAGGAAGGGAAGTCAAAGTCAAATATATATATTTGATATATATATATATATATATATATATATATATATATATATATATATATAGCTTTATTCTCCAAGGATCTCATTCTAGTTCAGAAGGCAGGTATCCATTATGGTAAATTTTAAAAGAGATAAATTTTCTAAACTACAAAAGGAACCATTCTTGGTAGAACAGAATCAAGATGGAAAAGGCTACACAAAACGAAGTGGGTGGAAGCTGAGTCCTAAATGGTGGGTGGGCTTGGGAGGGTGGGCTTTGAAGATAAAGAGCACCGTTAGCATTGAAAGAAGGGGGCATGGAAAATACAGAGTCATGAAACATCACGAACGCTAGGAGACTGCTAAGAATAATTCTCTTTCAAACAGACAGTTCTGGCATTATGGAAAGTACTAACGAATAAAGCCTCCAGAGTTTGAGAATCTTAGTCATAGGAACAGGGTCAAAATCTGGAAAGAGCTCCTCAGCATGGGAGCAAACTATGACAAAATCCACAACTCCACATCTTTAGAAATAGTGACATCATTGTCAGAGCAAAAACCTAGCAAGTTAAACATTTCAAATGACATTAAGTTTACTCATTTCACAAACAGATTTCAATAGTCTTTGGAGGACACCCCAGAAGAATAAATATCAACTGAGAATGAGAAAACAACTACTCCCCCCAAAAATACCACATCCAGTTACTAGAGCACTCTGAGAAAATGTGCACATATACGGTCCCTCCACAATGTCCCTCTAGTCACTGAAATCAGCCAAGGTTTCTAGTCTACTGTTTGTAAAGGTAATGACACTAGAAAGCATCTCTTCAAAACCCTTACGTATCAAAAGCTGTCTTCATCAAGTTGATAGTTTCTGCTCATTTAAAAATTTTGTTCATGGAATTATCTATTTCTAAAAGCCCAAGTGGAAAACAAGATATCTATGTATTTTCACTTTGCTGGTGGTTAATTAAACAGATGGTGACTTCCTTATCCTGTGACACTTCTGTATGATGAACAAGATAAATAAGTTAATCAGAACACAGTTTGTATAATTAAAATACATATGTTATTTAGACATAAGGAGCAGAAACATTATTATAATAGGCTTCAAACTGAAAATCAAATGAAGATATTAAGTAGAATTACAAAAGAGTTGAAACATGTCCAGAAACTCCGATAATTTTCCAAAGCTGACAAACAATGGCCAATAGGTATATATAGAAAGGTACTCAACATCAATAGTCATCAGGAAATGCGAATCAAAACCACAGTGAGATATTACCTCACACCTGTTAGGATCTATCAGCAAAAAGACAAGTGATGACAAGTGTCAGGTACAGGGGAGAGAAAGGGAGATCTTGTCCACTCCTGGTGGCACCGCAAACTGATCCAGTCATTATGGGAAACAGTGTAGAGATGCCTCAGAAAATGAGAACTAGAACCCTATGACTCGGGACATGTATTCTGAGTACATATCCAAAGGATCCAAAGGAAATGAAACCCGTACCTTAAAGAGCTATGTGCACGCCCATGTTCATTGCAACATGATTCCCAATAGACAAGACAGAAAGAATCTGAGCATCCATCAACAGATAGATCAATAATGAAATTACTATGTTAAATATTATTCAGTGCTAAATATTATTCAGCCTAAAAAAGAAGGAGATTCTGCTATTAGTGATAACATAGACATACTTAAAGGAAATTATGCTAAGTGAAATGAACAGGAAGACAGATCACATGATATCATTAATATGGAATTTTAAAAGGTCTAACTTAGAAAAATTGAGTACAATGGTGTTTGCCAGATAACAGAAGGAGTGGTAGATTTGGGAAGATCTGTAAAAGGGTAAAACCCCTCAGTTATAACATGAATAAGTTCCAGATATCTATAGTGCAACAGGGTAACTTCAGCTAATAATAGTGTCTTTCATACCTGAAATCTGGGGAGACAGTAAATCTTAAGTATCACAATACCTACAAAAAATGACAAGTGAAGTACTGAATTTGTTAAGTCACTTGATTGTGCAAATCATTATACAAGAATACTTATGTCAAAACACCATGTAGTACACCTTAAATATATACAAGTTTCGATTTGTCGATCATACCTCAATAAAGCTGGAGAAAACAAAAATCAAATAAAATACTGGAAGGAGTCTGTTCTTGTAAGAATGGGGGCCATGAGTCTCACTAATGGACGATTTTGATAGTCCTTATACATTTCTGCAAAGACACAGAAAAGCATCAATATATGCAATTTAAATCTTCTGTACAACAAATCCATCACATCATCTGCTTTACCGCAAAGAAAAATAAAGCTGCATCTGAACTCTACTTTCTATTACATTTTAACACATCTGAGAGCTTGTCTTACTCTGAAGCACTGTTTAATCTCTAGAAATTGATTTATCTATCTGGCTTTCAGAAACCCACTCACCTTTGAAATTCAAATGAAGCACGCCTGTATAAATGCATGAGCTTCTTTCTACAAATCTTCTCTTTTTGCCGGGTGTCTTGAGAGAGCAGAGGGGACACCTGGGAAGCCTATTGCTTTGCTTTTGCCCTCCCCATTTCACGGCGTTTTGGTAAGATTAGAAATCACATGTTAAGTGTTGGCACATATAAATGGTCAATAAAGCTGCTACTGTGATGTTAGCACTTTGGAGCTGCACCTTGAATTGTGTTTCTACAGAAGAAAATGATTAAAGAAAATTTTTGATTTAAAAATAAGTACACAGCTCTTCTTCCATTAAAAACCTGACTCTCTTCTCAAGTTACAAATAATGCCCTCATCGATTTTTGGTTTCTGCAATGATAAGATTTTATGCTTAGAAAAGGATTTATTGTAAGGCTTAGTCTTCTAGAGCTCTTACTGGCACAGGTCCCTTATGGCTCTGAAATAGGAAAACAATGCATTTCATAAAGTTTGCTGAATGAATGTGTTTTAGCAGCAGAGAGTTAAGATCATTGACTTCTGTCTTTATCTCTGTCCCCCATGTCACATATGGAGTAGGAAATTAAATTTGAAATACATTTAGTTTGCTTTTAGAGAAGCAAACTTGATGTTCCCAATTGCTTCTGTGCATGGTCACAACAGGTTACTGTTATCTAAGGAATGGATTCCAGGGATACAATGCCAACTGGCCCCATGTCTTGACTTGAAGGTAGAGGGCAGAGTTTGTATAACAGAATTAAATGGAAATGAAGGAGAGGCAAAGGTTGAAATTTACAGAGGTGGAAGTTTGACAGCAGAACATTTTCCCAAATCTTATCTCTTATGGATAAAAATGCATGAGAGGAATTGTCCTAAATTTAACAATGATCTAAAAAATTGAAATGCATTATTAAAATTATTAAATTAATAAAATTATTAGAGATCTATAATTTTTAAACTCAGTTAACTATTTAACTGAAAAATGAATATGATTTTTATTCTTTCTATAGATAACATTCTAAGATAGTATCATAAGAAAGGATAATCAAATAGTACTTACCTATATGAAGAAAGGAAAAATAAAACAGAGGTAGGTAGTTAATAACAAATATGATAGACCTCAACTTTAAACCTTTGTACTGTCATCTGTAGTTTTCATTCTGAATTAATATTCATTTTATCTCTTACTTTACATGTCTCTTGCAAGGAAGATCTCACAAAATAGATAAGCTTCAAACCATAAAAATCTGTATCGGCCAATCCCTGACCCCACATTCACTAAGATCTGGAAATGTCTGTGTATACACAGCCTTGGGCAGGCAGTTCAGTTGGCTTTTAACTATCCTCCCCACCTCCAGCATCTATCAGTAGAGAAAGGGAACCAGGAATAAAATGGAGGTTAAATGTCACTTTTGTTAATGGCAATAACTCTTTAATTAGAGGGCTTTGAAGCATGGAATTAAGACCTGGAGCCAACCTGGGCTTCCGGTCTTTTCCCTCATGGGAGGCAACATGATTTACTGACCAGTGACAATTAGAGTGTATGGGAAAGAGCGGGACTCTTTCCCAAACCAAAGAGCCTATTCCATGGTTTTATTTTCATGCAAAGTGGAAACCCATTGCTATGGTTTAAATATCTCTGAGGCTCCATGTGCTGAAACTCAATTCCCACTGTGACATATTAAGAAGGTAGAAACAACCCGATCCCAGAGTTCATAAAGGGAATATGTGGGGGGGAGGGATTGGGATTTGATAACATCACTAGGTGTAGCCCCCATGACTGTATCCTGATGGCTATGTAGAAGGAGAGAGAAAGAGAGCAGAAGAGACACATGTGCAACCCATGAATGCCCTCTGTCTCACCTTGGCTGTCTGCCAGCAGGAAGGCTGTCCCAGACGCAGCCCCTCAACCTTCAACCTTCAGAGTTGTGAGACCAAATAAGCCTCTTTTTGTTAAAACTTACCCAGTCTGGGCCATTCTATTATTAGTGACAGAAAATAAACTAATATTTCCATCTATCCAAAGCATCTGGGCACACAGAGTTCAAAGATTTCAAAAAAGTAATAGGGAATCCACCACCACAGTGTCTTCTAAATTAAATCACACTGGGATGGAAGAGGGGATGGAGAAGAAGGAGCAAATGTTTCTTCAAATATCCTTCTCCCTGAGTGTTCCTTCCTATAGAAAATGAGCAAAGAGTAATGGCAGTAAAAGATTTCTCACTGTCAAAGGGTCCTGAGTCTGATTTAAATAAAATACCCATTTTTAAAAAATTGATAGCCAAACACAGTAAAAGCTAATAAGTATATTGACCTTACAGATGACATGTATATATTAACTGTTAACCTAACTTCTTAGAGGCCTTCTTAATCTTAGAATAAACATATACATTCTTTGGCCTTATGAAAATTTCCCCAAAGCCAATAATAAATCAATTGCTATAAAGCAATTATTTTTCAATAAATGAATAACCTAGAACTGCCACTAAGATTCAGTTTGCTTCAGTGAATCATACAATTCCAGGAAATTGATTTGTGCAATTTTTCGTTGTGTGTGTGTGGCGGGGGAGGAGTATATATTTGTAG